GGACGGCTAGCGCAGATAGTCTTCGTGAAGCTTTGCGCGAAATTCAAAAACAAACAATCTTATGAATTACTATCAATGGCACATATGATAAAATTACAATATTTGGTGTGATAAAAATAATAACTATTTGAAACATAGTGAATTAATTGAAAAACAAGCCTAATGATATTATATTTATCTTAATGTGTCTCATATCTATAAAGTCAGCTGTCAATAGCTTCATGCTTAGTAACGACAGAACAACTTATACGACATTAATTTATTTTGTATTTCCCCAACATCCGGTGGCTCAGCGGCACGTCTAAGGGCTTATAAAGCTAAAGATCGGATTTCGATAACCGCAATGGGCAGAGTACAGATAGCCCATTGTGTAGCTTTGTGCTTAACAACAAATAAAAAAATGGCTTGCATTCATATCACGGAAAATATTTCATTTAATCAGAAACATAAATAAAATGTACAGTCTGTATGAGTAAAAGAAAACGCACAGGGTCTGAGAATTAAGTTTCACGTTCGAAACGTAGAAATCGCCTACGCACATGAACAAAATAAACACATATTAAATAGCCTTGCTTACTTTAGGAAAATCCAAATTTATGCCCAAAGTAAGCCAGTGTTGAAACCACGACAGTCTTTCATTTCTAAAATTGTTTATTTTAAGTGTCTTTCTTAACCCTTTTCACGAATAGAAGAAAGTCACGCGCGTCACATAAGGTGACCTTTTCCGTCTCGTAGACATGACACAAGGTTTTGATCCCGTTGCCGATAGAAGGAAACGAGTAGGACTTGATGGCGCTTCAAATGGAAATGCGTTCAAGGTTACGTTGTATTTGTCAAAACATATGGAAGTCATTTCATCAGAAAAACGCCTTTCTATACGATGGATCACCATTTTATTGCGTAAAGATAACCCCGCTACGAATTCTGCACAGAGTCGTGGGTGGTGGATTTACTACAAGTTATTAGTGACGCATATTTTCAAATGAAAACAAGATGTGTTAAGCAGAACCCTTGCACGTTTTTAGCAAATATGAAATGACGTCAAACTTAAATAATTTTGAGAATGTAAATATGAACTATTTAAATTGGCGTTAAGTTGCATCTGTGTGCGTGTGTGTAATTAGTAAATATCTAGCAACGATATTTATGACTATATTTCATAAAAATATATTAAGTTATTTTTACCATTTTACTCAGCTGTAACATAAACCATTTGATACAAAAACATAGCAAAATAAACGACTATCAAATATATTAGGCTTGAGCTTGCAAAACCAAACCAAAATTAAATTACAGTGAACACTTAGATATTCCAGTAGATTTTAAATATCATGTAATAATAAACTTAAGTGGCTCTGCAACAAGTTTCAGGGCTTATAACGCTAAAAATTGGGATTCGATCTCTACAGTTAGCACAGCACAGGTAGCCATTGTGTAACTTTGTGTTTAACAACAAATTATATAAAGCCTAAGTAACATGTTTTCCTTAATATTATTTTTATAAACATATGCAATTATTCCATATATCTTTTCACTGAACATTAGCCAATTAAAAGCTCTATAAAACGTTCTTTTATTATTTCAAACACAGTAAGGATGGCCATAACAGGGGAGATTTCAAGATACATAAGATTAGCGAAATCTAACTATGAGAATATGTTTCGTCGTATTAAATATGAATATATATATTTATATATTTAAAACAGTCATTTTTTTAATTACACAATATCTATTAATTATTCTTGTACCTCGTAGAATTAACATTCTTCACTTATTGAGCCGTAAAATGGACAATTGTTTCAAGTGTCATTTATCTCTTTTTCAAAATCTAAGTTGAGATGATAATTCACAGACACATTCGAGGTGCGTGCAACACACTTAGGTCTCCTTTGCCTTCCAACATTCAAACGGTCTAGGATTTGGAACTATTTCTTACCTTTATCAAATGTCTGAATGACAGCTCAAGGATAAATAAAACCGTTGATTCTTCAATTTATGAGAAAAGCTGTGGCTTCTTGCCACTGTTTAACATTATTCTATTTTTCCTTCCTTTTTTAATAAAGTCTTTAGTTACTATACAGACTGCTAATACACACAGTTGGAGTTTTAAATGAGCAAAGTATCTAGAAGTGCTTAAATGATAGGATAAGAAATCGCTGAACACGAAATTAAGCAAAGGAAAGATAGTCAATATGTCTGAACACATGCTGAGAAAAATGAGAAGAACAAATGAAAATTTCAAAATACATATTTTTAAATCGGTAAGAAATTTGCAAATAAATAGTAAATTCCATATAAAAATACAAACAGTGTCAAAACATTCTTAAAATGTATTAGGTTTATTCATTAAAAAATAAATGGTTAATATATTTACACTTGACAAATTTCTCAGGACCGACTACGTCTTTAGTGGATTTTAATTTTTGATCGCCAGGCGCTTTTACTTTCCCATACAAGAACAAATTCAACTGAACTCTTCTACAATAGATGAATCGTAGTATAATATAGTTGATAATCATACAGCAGGAAACAAACAAACATGTTATGAAATCGTTTTCAGTGATAATAAAAATGAAAATGTTCCTTAATTTAGACTAGAAGGGTTTATCGTTTTGTAGTTAAGATTGTATTTAATATTCTGAATTGAAAAATAACTTATTTTCAGGGAAATAGACAAACTTCACTCTTGAAATCTTTGGTAATGGTTTCGCTAAATTCAGTCTAATTAACTTTCATTGAGAATGATTTATGGTTGAGAGTTTGTGTTTTGTTTCGGAAGTGAACAAAGGTGTCTTACAAAGTTTCTGACTCCTACCTTTCTAATCTATTATATGTTACATTATTATTTGTATGCCTTGTATACTACTGTTCTGATGTATGTCTTGTTTGCTGTTTTCAAGCAAAAGCTGCTACTCTAATAACTTATTTTGTTTTCAGGAAAAGGTGTGCTGCTACTGCACAAATTTGTTGTTTTCAGGAACATGTGCTGTTACTGCAGTAACTTGCTGTTTTCAGGAAAAGTGTGCTGTTACTGTAGTAACTTGTTTTCAGAAAAAATGTGCTGTTACTGCAGTAATTTGTTGTTTTGGGGGAAAGGGTGCTACTACTGCAGTAATTTGTTGTTTTCGGGAAAAGTGTGCTACTACTGCAATAATTTGTTGTTTTCGGGAAAAGTATGTTGCTACTGTAATAACTTGTTGTTTTCGGTAAAAGTGTGCTGCTACTGTAGTAACTTGTTTTCAGGAAAAGTGTGCTACTACTGTAGTAACTTGTTGTTTTCAGGAAAAGTATGTTACTACTGTAGTAACTTGTTGTTTTCAGGAAAGTGTGCTGCTACTGTAGTAACTTGTTTTCAGGAAAAGTGTGCTACTACTGTAATAACTTGTTGTTTTCAGTAAAAGTGTGCTGCTACTGTAGTAACTTGTTGTTTTCAGGAAAAGTATGTTACTACTGTAGTAACTTGTTGTTTTCAGGAAAGTGTGCTGCTACTGTAGTAACTTGTTTTCAGGAAAAGTGTGCTACTACTGTAGTAACTTGCTGTTTTCAGGAAAAGTGTGCTGCTACTGTAGTAACTTGTTTTCAGGAAAAGTGTGGTGCTACTGTAATAACTTGTTGTTTTCAGTAAAAGTGTGCTGCTACTGTAGTAACTTATTGTTTCCAGGGAAACGTGTACTGCTACTCTTATAAGTTATATATCGTTTACGACTCTATTCTACATGTCATAAGAGGGTACGGCTATTATTCAAGTTGTTAAATACATCAGTAAGTTAAGTTGTTGAAATATTTTAGGTGATTATATTGTGATCTGACAAACTAATCCTATTGACAAGTTTCACTTGTGTGTTACGCAATGATGCACAATTATTATCATTTACAGTAAGAAAGCTTAATATCAATAACACTTTGAAAGGATAAAAGAGTAGACATAAATTGAGCAGGATATATTTAGGTATCCTTAATAATGTTATTTTCAATTTTTACTGTTAATGTATTTCATTTTCGTTTCCCTTCGAATTATATTAACACGGCTCCAAAAAGCGAACTATTGATCATTGCGACATGAATTATCAAATGTAGGAAAAGTCAAAACAGCATATGTTTCTAGATATAAACCGCTAAATAAGCTATAGATGTTTGTTCATAGTTAAAACTTTTATTGGTGTACATGGATGATCTCAAAAAATGATCTGCATTTAATGGTGTTTCCTTGTGAAACATTCTTCCTGACTAACAGCATTATTAAATGTTAAGTGGTTCGTTAGGTCATTGTTTTTTTTAAATTTTGTGATATATTTTTAATAGTTAATCTAGTTATTGAAGTTATATTTACAATTCATACTTATACGTTTTTTGACAATCCTCGTAATATCAGTGTATTTTGTATCAGATTATTGTTGTCATTTCTTATTGGTTTTGACAAACGATATATGTTCGTGAGAAACTAAACTATTTAGAAATTATAATTTTAATGAAAATGTTTTTCTCAACACGAACACTTTAAGGAATAAGATATTTTGTTCAGTTTTTATTACATCATTGAAATGATCTTTACTTTTAGATTTTACAGATATTCTTATAAATATTTCTTTTCTTTTTATGGACAGATAATAACCGATTTGTCTGTTTCACAAATTTTGCGCATAGCTACACAATAAGCTACGTGCTAATAGCCATCCCTAATTCTTAGCCTTTTTTTTGATTCGAATATTTCGACAAAGCTTCGCAAGACCTACCTGCACTAGTTGTCCTTAATTTTGAACTGAAACACTAGAGGGAAGGCAGCTAGTAAACAGCATCCACTGCCACTATTTTGGTTACTCTATTCCAACTGTGGGATTTGATTGTTACTTTTGTAACGCACTCACTGCCTCAAAGTGCGAGTGCGTTTTGTGACAACGGGATGCGGACAAGGAACCATCAGATTCAAAGTCCGAACAGATAATAAATAAGCCATTAACTTATCTCTTCTACACGCTTGGTTTCTGATATGTGTTTTAATGGCTAATCAAACAAGTTATTGATGGCAAACGAAGATTGGTAACGAGTCCAACTTTTAATACCGCGACCTAAAACATAAGGTATATTTATGCAAAGGATTCTACTTCTGCTTTGTTGATTGGAAGTATATGTCACACAGATAATTTATCTCGATAGACAAAACAGTTGAGAGCTACAAAATACTATTTCTAAATAGTACAATGTCAATAATACTTCAGCGTATTTTCTTTTCTCCTTTTATTTCTTCAATTCAAATGAAGCTAAATGAATTTATAAATATTATATGATTTTATCTATACCTTAATTTTTCTTAAACTTCTATACTTTTGTTTGTTTGCTTGTTTATTGATAAACACAAACCTACACAATGGACTGACTATCTGTGCTCTTCCCATCACGATTATCGAAACCCGGATTTTAGTGTTATAAACCTTCTCACTTACCGTTTAGCCACTAGAGGGCAAACTTTTATAAAACTATATATATATATATATATATTTACGTATATTTTCGTTGAAGTTTAATCATTTAGACCCATAGTGGCATCAGCAAAAAATTAGATATATAGAATTATCAGTTTCAAAAATAATTTGCTAAATATAGAGAGTTACAGTAGAATACATTTTCTATTTGGTTCACTTTATGAGGAGAGAAAAAATAGATACGAAAAAATATACCTAAATATTATATTCCAAAAATGGTATATAAAATATCATTTTGTATGCAATAATTGATTAACTTCTTGTCTTGTCATTTTAATACTATAAGCCCTCTAGCGTATATAGAAAAGTATCAGGGCGTCAGATTATTTAACGTCTTACCTTTGCAATTTCCAAGCTGCCCGTCCAGCCCATAATAACCTGGCTCGCAAGCGCATGTGTGTGTTCCAGAAAGGAGACCACATGAACACTTGGCCATATGATCACAGCATCCAGGATCATCAGCCATCCCCTTGTAGGGACTATTGCAAAGATAGTCACAATCTCTTACAGACGCACCCTCAGACCAGGTTTTCTCGTAAAGATCTGCAACGAATTGAACGTTTTTGGACTGGATAATATAAATAAAACCTTTCTAACACAAATTCTTAAAATATATTTCAACCATATTCAGGAAAAAACGAATGTTACAAGTTATAGCACACTTCCATAAGTTCTTGAGTTCAGAGTTTTGTTTTCTAAGACACAAAACGTGTTTAAATTATAAGTAAACATTACTATAAAATGTCTCTTGTGATAAGGCATTATATATAGTTTAAACATGTAATTATAGGTAAGGATTACTATAAAATGTCTCTTGTGATAAGGCATTATATATAGTTTAAACATGTAATTATAGGTAAGGATTACTATAAAATGTCTCTTGTGATAAGGCATTATATCTAGTTTAAACATGTAATTTAGAAGGTACTTTTTGTAATGTATCTAAAATACATGAAGTTGACCAAAAGGTACTATTTTCGTTGCCATAACTTACTTATATTGAACATATTCTACAAAAGATACCATTTTCGTTACTGTAACTTACTTATATTGAACATATTCTACAA